TATTAACAATTATTCCACCTTGGTGGCAGCCCCCATAAAGGTTGTTACTCAGAAAAGTCCAAAGATTGGCCTGCAGATTCTATTAATGCCTTTCCCAACACTGATAAAGATTTAATTTCTGGTCCTAGACCTGACCAACAAAAAAAACCTTTTCCTTCCTTGAAGTGGATGCTTTGGCACTGGGCACTGATCCTTCAACCTATGGCTGGCAAAAAACAACCATGTGCCTTTTTTTTCCAAAAATACTACCACGGTCACCTCTCGTAAGGTGAACACAGATCATTTGATGTAAAGACGCAATCAGAGGCAGACCCATGGGATGTCATCAACCACCTGGAATTAGAAGTAAGCTGTTTTACACAAATACTGATGCTGATGCTTAAGGAAAAAATTAAGCGGCAATAACAGAATATTAAAGAAAATGCAATAAATCTATATGCACTGGATTGAAGTGCACGGTTTTTTAGAGAGTGCTTTTTACTTGGTTTTTAAAAAAAGGGTTGATTGTATGAATTACTATACTATGAGAGGTTGTTGTATCTTTTCTGAGCAAATGTTTGCTGAAGGTGGAGCGGACCATGGGAGGAGGATCACAGACCACTTAATGATAAAGCTTGTGAAACTAACTGGAGCAAACTAACACACACACTAGCCCTGGAGTGATGGGTAAAGTGCAGATTTGATCATACCTTTGAGGCGGTCAATGGTGTGGTGTACACTGAATGCTGTTCTCGCTGCAAGAACATGCTGGACTTTCGCACTTATTTGATGGAAGAATAAAGTTTGATTACAACAAGATCAATTTATATTTATTTAGTACCTACAAAGTTTTTGCACAGGATGTGATGAAAATTGACACTTTAAAAAAAAAAATCACACAGACATTGTTTGAAGTTAAATGTTTTTATTGAAAGTATTGAAAATGTTCTTGGGCAGCGCCAACAAGAGAGCTGTATGGAAGCTTTCCTATATACAGCTCTCCTGAACACTGAGTGCCCAGGCTGATTCCCAGCAACTTACCTACTTCCAAACACATCTTGAAGCTCCCTAGACCGTGGGAGACACTCAGCTCTGTGTGAGAATGACTAGAAAGTGAAAGGCTGGAGAGATGTCCACAAAAACTCACAAAGTTTCAGCCCCCGCCAGCACACAGCAGTTCCTGTCAATGGTGGAGATTCCTCTTGCTCCTCCCAGAGCTCTCTGCAGAAAAGTAACAGCAGCTTTGCAACAGACACATGGAGGACACTCTACGAGTATCCACAGCAATGTATAACAGACCCAGGTCCTGCACCTCCTTTACTTCTTCCACAACCTCACTCCATGCAGAATTCAAGCCCAGGATCACTCCACACATCTGAGTCCTGCAATGCTGGGGTAAGCCTAAATAGTCCACGACTGAGCCACATGTCGCCTTTCATGATCCTATTCCTACATTTCCCAGATGCAAGCCAGCCTATTCTTGATACTACGCTAAGGGGCATGCTCATCTCCCTCATAAATTCATTACACCTGACATCATGACATGTGTTAGGAATCATTTTAGAGTGGAGGTTGTATGAGCTTGGTGACAGAGTGGAGCAAAGAATGGGAGAGTTCACTAATACCCAATGTAATAGTAAACTCTCACAATGATAAACAGGAAGAAGTCACATTTTTCTTAAAAATAGCAATTCCTGAGGATAGTCTTGCAGAAATAATGTCAAGATAATGAGGAATTTCAGAGTTTGGTACGCAACAGCCAGATCAACTTAGTCTTTGTTCAAGAATCTATTTATTCTGTGCTGTACTACCTGATATTTACAAATATCAAAGCTAATTATCTGCCTGAAAAAAATTCCAAGAGACGTGCTTCTTCGAGTCCATTTTTTTCATATCAAAGAAAAATTCATAGACACTTCAGCAGACATCTCAGTATCTTCCTCTGCAATACTCATCACAACAATTTTTTGCAGATTTCTCCACACAATGCAACAAAGAAAGAATCTCCTCCTCATTGCAAAAGCTTTGCGTAATCACAAGCTCGTTTACCTTTGAAGTTTTCCCACCAAGCTAACAATCACCAGAAATGGAAATTCTTTCACTATTACAACTCTGGATGAAGGCTTGCAATTGCTAAGAGAATGGCACTTGAACCTTCAGCTCCCCCTACTGTTAAAATGGAATGGCACACAGTTACTCATTAAAAAAAAAAAATTTGAAGTCGCCTTATGACTGTCTTCTTTATGATACCTATCAGGGCATTGAGTGTTCTATTGTGTGTTTAGTTCCTATACAGTAGAGTCATAAACATTCTGCTTGCTTGTTTTCTTTTTTTTTATCCACCCTATTAATAATGTGCAGTGTTTACTGCTTACTGATCCTCTACGGAATCACCTCTATTCACAATCAGTTACTATTCTTGGCTCCTGTTTTGTCTTACCCTTGTCATCTTTCTTCTGACAGGTTTTTAAAACTCATAACACAGTGACATTTGACAACTGTCTTGATAAATGGTTTACGGTGTATATCATTGGAATGAGCCTCATCATATGGCCAATTACAGTTAAATTTACAGCTTACATCGTTCTAATTTTCAATTTATATTATGGTTTTAAAAATAATGTAAATTGGGTTAAATTACCCTGCTAAGAGATCCACTATGTGGAAAGAGGCTTTATTGTCACACTGATCTAATGTGCATCCAAGAAACCCATTTTTCCAACACCTAAATGTATGCACAAAAGTTGTCCACATATACCGTATATGGCTAACACCATAGTTAAAAAAAAGAAATAAGAATACGGTTAGTGTTAACCTTCTTGCTTCCTATGCAAATCCTGATGGTTGGTATTTCATTCTGGTCTGCATAACTGATAACCGAACAAACATAATCGTGAATTTATACACTCCAAAACTCCCATCAAAAATGTTCTTTCAAGAAGCTTTTCAAAAAGATTTCATCCCTACGCTCTGGCTACCTTATAACTGTGAACAGGGGATTTCAATTTAGTAGTCCATAAACAGCTTAACTCCACCACTATACCCCAAAAAGATCTCAATCACTATCTCTGCTATTGCTTAAGGAAGATGTATGATGTTTGGAATTGTCATCGTGCAAACGAAAAAGATTGTATCTTTTACTCTACTCGACATAGATCCTACTTTAGAATAGATATAATTCTCTTTGAAAAATGGTTACTTTAGAAAATAACTACTACTACTATCACTAATAAAACATGGTTAGACCATGCTCCTACCTCCATAAGCATTGCTGACCAATATCCTCATAACCTATGGCGAATCAGTACTTCAATATTAAAAAACTACCCAAAATGTAGAATTACTCACACAACGATTGAATACATTTTTTGCAGTTAACTCACAATCAATCAGTAACTGATCCTTTCACTTTATGGTGCGCTCACAAAGCATACATGAGAGTTATCATACTACAATTGTGTGCCCGAGCTAAGAAGCAGAGAACCCAGCAAGTTGACCTCTTATCGTCAGACATTCAAAAACTTGAGGCACAATCAAAACTTGCCCCCACCAAAGTATTTCTGAAAGACTTCTTACTCTTAGAACCAAACTAAAAACCCTACTAATATCACAATTTGATTAATATGTCCACATATTAAAATTTTTACTACTAATCTAATGGCAACAAAGCAGGGAAACATTTAACTAGAGCAGTCAAATGATCCAGACTAAGTCCAAAATAGCATATATTCTAGACCTACATAATAACACCAAAATATATAACTCCCAAAAAATTTCTGACTCCTTTGCAGAATATTATGAATCACTTTATAATTCAAACATCTACCCTGCCACTCCTCATCCTACGACAGATATTATATCTGCTTTTCTCACTAATCTGAAATTGCCTTCAGTTTCCAGTGACCAACAAGCTCTCTTAAATGCGCCATTCGCCTTATCAGAGATCCATAAAATAATCGACTATGACTCAAAAGCCCAAATGGCTTTTCTGGAGAATATTATAGAACATTTAAAAATATTCTAAGTCCATTCTTTATACTATCTACAACAAAGCTGCCTTTTTTAAACTTCCCCTCTTAAATTCTGCAAGCCCTAATGGTTACCATACCCAATCCAGAAAAAGATTCAATTACACCACTTAACTTCCATCCAATTTCTCTTAAAATGAGACATAAAAATATATGCTAAAATATTGGCTTACAAACTAACTGAAATCGTGCCAACTCTGATTAACCGGACCAATTAGGTTTTACAAAAGGACAACAGGCATCTGCTGCAACCCATAGAGAGATTGATATTATATCCCACACTAAGATTCCATCATTATTACTTGCCCTTGAATCCAAAAAAGCATTTGATAGAATACACTGGACCTAATTACGCCAGACCCCTACTAAATTTGGCTTTTTTGGAATGATAATAAAAGCAATTTTAGCTCTATATTCAAAAACGGAAAGCCCAAGTTTACACATCTAATATGTTGTCTATAGCTTTTCGGATTACTAATGGCACATGCCAAGGATGCTCCCTCTCTCCCCTAATTTTCAACTTGTTAATAGAAATAAGCCCTATACAGCATAAAATAACACTTTTTGCTGATGATTTTATCTTGATGTTAACAAAGCCTACCCTTTCATTAGAGGCTGCGCAACATGCTTTAACTAAATTTAGTAATGTTTCTTACTACAAAGTAAATCCCTCTAAATCATACATTCTAAATTTAGGAGTATCCCAAACTAAGAAAAACTATCCTACAATCAAGATTTCCCTTTATATGGAAAGATGAAGATAAGACTTTTTCTGGGTATAACCCTGACTAACTCCATATAATTTAGCATCTTTGAATTTCACTAACCTTATTGCTAAATTAAAATAACTTTTGCCAAACATGAGCTATCTTGGTCTGGTCACCTAGCTAGTTTTAAAGTGTTTATTCTATCCCATATTCTAAAATTGCAGGCGGCATATGTTGTGTAGATATTAATGATTACTACAAAGCAACTATACTAGATCAACTCAAACATTGGTTCTCACCCTCACAACACATTATGTTGCAATATTGAAAAATATTTATCATCAACAAAGATCTCTACTCTGTCCTTACTGCCAGCATTTGGAGAACTTTTCCTACTAAGTACTTAGCTCCCACTATCCAAGTGGCTAAGGCAGGCCATAGACGGACCGTTTATTGGCCGAAATTTTCACACCAATGATGGGGCACAATTCTTCCCACTGACACCAATGATGGGACACTATTCCTCCCACTGACACCAATGATGGGACACTATTCCTCCCACTGACACCAATGTTTGGACACTATTCCCTTCCCCCACTAACACCTATGACGGGGCACTTCCCCCCCCCCACACTGACACCAACGATGGGGCACTATTCCTCCCCCCACTGACACCAACAATGGGGCACTTCCCCCCCACTGACACTAATGATGGGGCACTATTCCTCCCACTGACACCAATGATGGAGCACGATTCTTCCCACTGACACCAATGATGGGGCACTATTCCTCCCACTGACACCAATGATGGGGCACGTTTCTTCCCACTGACACCAATGATGTGGCACGTCTCTTCCCACTGACACCAATGATGGGGCACTATTCGTCCCACTGACACTAATGATGGGGCACTATTCCTCCCACTGACACCAATGATGAGGCACTATTTCGCTCCATAAGACACACTTGGGGGAAATGTCTGTGCGTCTTATAGAGCGGATGGCCCAGTATTCCCGCCGCCGTTGTATGTCCGCAGTCTCTTCATGGTACTATGTCCACAGTCTCTGGTCATGTACTGTGTCCCAGTCTCTGGTCATCTCCTGTATTGTGTCCTCAGTCTCTGATCATCTCCTGTACTGTGTCCGCAGTCTCTGGTCATCTCCCGTACTGTTTCCGCAGTCTTGGTCATCTCCGTACTGTGTCCGCAGTCTCTGGGTCATCTCCCGTACTGTTCCGCAGTCTCTGGTCATCTCCTGTACTATGTCTGCAGTCATCACCTGTACTGTGTCCGCAGTCTCTGGTCATCCCTGTACTATGTCCGTAGTCTCTGGTCATCTCCTGTACTGTGTCCGCAGTCTCTGGTCATCTCCTGTACTATGTCCTCAGTCTCTGGTCATCTCCCGTACTATGTCCGCAGTCTCTGGTCATCTCGCATACTATGTCCACAGTCTCTGGTCCTCTCCCGTACTATGTCCACAGTCTCTGGTCATCTCCCGTCCACTGTCCGCAGTCTCTGGTCATCTCCTGTACTATATCCGCAGTCTCTGGTCATCTCCTGTACTGTGTCCGCAGTCTCTGGTCATCTCCTGTACTGTGTCCGCAGTCTCTGGTCATCTCCTGTACTGTGTCCGCAGTCTCTGGTCATCTCCTGTGTACAATGTCCGCAGTCTCTGGTCATCTCCTGTGTACTATGTCTGCAGTCTCTGGTCATCTCCTGTGTACTATGTCTGCAGTCTCTGGTCATCTCCTGTACTATATCCGCAGTCTCTGGTCATCTCCCGTACTGTGTCCGCAGTCTCTGGTCATCTCCTGTACTACATCCGCAGTCTCTGGTCATCTCCTGTACTATGTCCGCAGTCTCTGGTCATCTCCTGTACTGTGTCCGCAGTCTCTGGTCATCTCCTGTACTGTGTCCGCAGTCTCTGGTCATCTCCTGTACAATGTCCTCATTTGTTCATAGTTTTTTTTTTTTTTTAACTATAGTCCGGCCCTCCAACGGTCTGAGGGACAGTGAACTGGCCCCCTGTTTAAAAAGTTTGAGGACCCCTGGCCTACAACAACAATAAAAATGTTTGGTTCGATAAAGTTTGTAAAACCTGGACCACTTGGTAAAAGAATAATAAGTTACATTAACCTATTGTATTTTCTTGAGACATAATATGCCTTCATATGTCTTTTTTGACACCATGTAAACTTCATCCTTTCTATACTTGTCTTTTTCTACAATCCTCAATAAGTCACTTCATTTGGTATTTTGAACATCCTTGTTACAGGTTTGTTAAGTATGCATCATTACACACCTGATTGTATTTCCCTAATCAACAATACTTTCATTCTTGGTGTTTTTTTATTATGAAAGATACATGTACCAGATGTATACTGAAACTTCCTTATTGTTCATATCCTATTGTCTTGAAGTTACTCTTTGCTACATGACTACTTTGTACTATTTATATTTTAAACATTTCAAATAAAAATTGAATGTTAAAAAAAAGAAAATTTACACAGAAAATTATTATATTGCACTGTTTATATTAAGTTGTGCTTCACTTTTTTAATATGTATAAAGAAACTTAAATCTCTTCTTAAGGCTTGGGTGAATTTTTAAACACAACTGTAAATGTGCGCACTTGTGTTTAAAATATTACAAAATGCTTTTTGAAGCCCAACTCCAGGCTCCATGCTCCTTCCTCTAAATAAAACCCCTTACATCTCTTTTGGGTCCTACTGGCTGTATTTTAAGCTGCTTCTGTTTTTATAATTACTTTTCCCAAAGTCCTCAGGATGATCTTGCGATGCCACAGAATCCTCTTCACCTTCTCCCAGTGATGAGTGGCCTTACTTATATAGAGAGGTGTGCCGACATGATGACATCTGTGACACTCTCTGAACCAATACACTGATATTGTAGTTTGCCTTGGTGAAGCCCTCTTAGTGACAGGGCCGTGACATCTTGTATGCACTGGGGAGTATTTAAGATATGTTTTGGCCAAGAAGAGGTACTATGAGGGACAGCTTTGTTTAGCACCAAATATGCAGAGTTGGGATTTAAATTACTTTTAGTTAACATATTTGTTTGTATTGTTTGTTTCAAGCATTTCAGACTTTTGTGATATGTAAGACATATTGAAATATTCAAGTACTGAACTGGCCAAATCTTAATTTAAATAAACCTATGCATGTTAACATGTTATAGCATGATATAGAGATAGATTTAAAGCTTCAGTCTGCAATGTTTCTTTAGAAATTGTTTTAGCTGTTTCCTTAAAAGAATCCTAAAGTAGAATGCCTACCATCATTTCACACCATTGATAATATGACACATACCATTAGCTTGTCTAAAAAGGAATATGGATACATATCTAGTTTTCCATTTACACCTACACCTTACAAACAGCTGCAAAAAACTGTGAAAGTAGTTAGCTATTATCCTAGTACACTGAACACTCCTATTACCCATAAAAAATTTGGAACCCCACAGCTTCTAAAAAGTTCACATTTATTAGACAGCATAACAAGGACAGAAAAGAACCAAAGTAACAACTTTTTCTATATTCTTCTGAAAAGACTAGAGTTTTATGTCCTTACTAACTGCAAATTTTGATAAATAATGTACCTCTCTCTTACATAATGCAATACAAAGCACTTAGAAAATAAAATTATAAATATTTAGATATTTCCCATTGAAAAAAAGTCAGCCATGGCATTCGTGTGTGTATATATATATATATATCCAGTCAGGTCCATAAATATTGGGACATTGACACAATTCTAACATTTTTGGCTCTATACACCACCACAATGGATTTGAAATGTAACGAACAAGATGTGCTTTAACTGCAGACTGTCAGCTTTAATTTGAGGGTATTTACATCCAAATCAGGTGAACGGTGTAGGATTATAATAGTTTGCATATGTGCCTCCCACTTGTTAAGGGACCAAAAGTAATGGGACAATTGGCTTCTCAGCTGTTCCATGGCCAGGTGTGTATTATTCCCTCATTATCCCAATTACAATGAGCAGATAAAAGGTCCAGAGTTAATTTCAAGTGTGCTGTTTGCATTTGGAATCTGTTGCTATCAATTCTCAAGATGAGATCCAAAGAGCTGTCACTATCAGTGAAGCAAGCCATCATTAGGCGGAAAAAACAAAACAAACCCATCAGAGAGATAGCAAAAACATTAGGCATAGCCAAAACAACTGTTTGGAACATTCTTAAAAAGAAGGAACGCACCGGTGAGCTCGGCAACAGCAAAAGACCCGGAAGACCGCGGAAAGCAACTGTGGTGGATGACCGAAGAATTCTTTCCCTGGTGAAGAAAACACCCTTCACAACAGTTGGCCAGATCAAGAACACTCTCCAGGAGGTAGGTGTATGTGTGTCAAAGTCAACAATCAAGAGAAGACTTCACCAGAGTGAATACAGAGGGTTCACCACAAGATGTAAACCATTGGTGAGCCACAAAAACAGGAAGGCCAGATTAGAGTTTGCCAAACGACATTTAAAAAAGCCTTCACAGTTCTGGAACAACATCCTATGGACAGATGAGACCAAGAGCAACTTGTACCAGAGTGAAGGGAAGATAAGAGTATGGAGAAGGAAAGAAATGCTCATGATCCTAAGCATACCACCTCATCAGTGAAGCACGGTGGTGGTAGTGTCATGGTGTGGGCATGTATGGCTGCCAATGGAACTGGTTCTCTTGTATTTATTGATGATGTGACTGCTGACAAAAGCAGCAAGATGAATTCTGAAGTGTTTCGGGCAATATTATCTGCTCATATTCAGCCAAATGCTTCAGAACTCATTGGATGCCGCTTCACAGTGCAGATGGACAATGACCCAAAGCATACTGCAAAAGCAACCAAAGAGTTTTTTAAGGGAAAGAACTGGAATGTTATGCAATGGCCAAGTCAATCACCTGACCTGAATCTGATTGAGCATGCATTTCACTTGCTGAAGACAAAACTGAAGGGAAAATGCCCCAAGAACAAGCAGGAACTGAAGACAGTTTCAGTAGAGGCCTGGCAGAGCATCACCAGGGATGAAACCCAGTGTCTGGTTATGTCTATGCGTTCCAGACTTCAGGCTGTAACTGACTGCAAAGGATTTGCAACCAAGTATTAAAAAGTGAAAATTTGATTTATGATTATTATTCTGTCCCGTTACTTTTGGTCCCTTAACAAGTGGGAGGCACATATGCAAACTGTTGTAATTCCTACACAATTCACCTGATGTAAATACCCTCAAATTAAAGCTGACAGTCTGCAGTTAAAGCACATCTTGTTAGTTTCATTTCAAATCCATTGTGGTGGTATATAGAGCCAAAAATTTTAGAATTGTGTCAATGTCCCAATATTTATGGACCTGACTGTATATATAAGAAATAAAAGTAAATATGTCAAACTTTTGGTCATTCTGATCACAGGAAACCATTGGTGACATGGAGTCCCTGCTCTATGGCTATGGTTATTAAGTGATTTTGGAGCAATAATATTGAAGATATCAGTTTAGCTTACAGTCAGGAGCTAAGAAGATAACTTTTTAGGAAAACCAAGTTTCCTTTATTTAAATTCTAATAGAGTTTCTATGCCAAATGGAGCTTAGCTAGACAGGAGGTTGGTGGATGGTAATGTAACCGGAAATAAGAAAAAAAAAGAGAACGAATTTAAAAAAGGACCTTCACTCCAAAATCGAAGTTTGCACTAATGTAATCCTCTGCAAAGTAATAAGCAAACAAATTTTATTTATTTATTACTTTTTTTAATTAACATTCATCCCGACCTTTCCCTCTACATCAATTTTCGCACAGGTGAAAATGGCATGTCCTACAGTCAGAGTCTTCTGAGATATCTATGTCAAATATCCCAGAAGGCATCAGTGTCCCTAGAGCGTCAGAAGGAGGACAAACCTGGCAGTGCATCGTCAGGGAGAAAGCTGCAAGAACTTAATGGAGAATGCCAGTTTCACTGAATAAGATAGCAGTGTGGGACCAAGGTTACTGCAGGACTACTGGATTCATTGGGCAGGTGAGTATGTTAAAATGGGGACAACACAACATGACAGATAAGAGGGATTTGAAAAAAGAAAAGAAAAGAAAAATGAGCAGGGAAGAGTGAAGTTCCTCTTTAATCATGTTGTTTTGAGGACATCACAGCTAACGGAGGCTAGGGAAAGAGCATTTCCACTATTAACTGAAGTAAGCATTTAGCCATTAGAACTCCCTGATTTAAAGTTAAGTAATGTTTCATGTGGATAGATGAATGGTTGCATTTGTTAAATTTTTAAGCAGGGTGTAGATACTTTTGGTTTTACTGCATGTAATTCCTGTGTGTTACCCTATTTAACCACTTGAACTCTGGAAGGTTTTACCCCCTTCATGACAAGGCCCTTTTTTGCTATTTAGCACTGTACTATTTTAACTGGTGACTGTGCAGTCATACACTGTACCCAAATGAAATTTATCATTTATATAGCATTATATTTTCTGTAGCTTTTATAGCTTTCTTTAGGTGGTATTTGATCACCACTAGGTTATTATATTATATATACATACACACACACACAGTTGTGCTCAAAAGTTTGCATACCCTGGCATAAATTGTGAAATTTTGGCATAGATATTGAAAATATGACTGATCATGCCAAGAA